ATGTTGCACCAGGGGTTATTCTTTGGGTAGCATGCAGCCGGGGGTTACACTCTGATCAATTAAGGGCTCATATACTTGTAAGTGTGAATTTGACAGTTGATAATGTAGTATATTACTAAACAGTACTGTGAATGGTATAGTACAAATTGAATGTACTAGTTGAATTTAATCTAATGTACCCCTGGGAGTAATGTAATTTTAATGCATAATTACCTCCGCTGGATCAGATGTCCCCTCCCCCCACCAAAAAAAAAAAAGAAAAGAGAAAGGAAAAGGAAAAGGAAAAGGAAAAAAAGGGGGAAGGGAGAAAGAAAGGGAAAAGAAAGGAAGAAGGGGAAAAAAAGAGAGAAAAAAAGGAAGAAAAAAAAGGTTATAATTCCCTGTATATTATCAACAAAAGGAGCCATTTAAGGTGACATGAGCAGGTACTGTTAAATGCGATAAGCAGCGTTGGCAGCATCGATAAAGGCTCCGGAACGGGATCGTTCCACATGATCCTCCCTAGGGAGATTTCCCATTAACACCCGAAAAATGCTTTCATACTTGAGAGTTTCTGTCTATATGTTTTTTAGTCTTTATTTTTATTTTTATGTTTGTCCCCCTTTTAAATTAAAAAAAATTTGTTTTCATTTATGCGTTCAATCTTTTTTTGGTCTTTATTGACCAGAGAAGGGCTACTAAACTGGTTCATGGATTGCGGGATAAAACTTACCAGGAAAGGTTAAAGGATCTTAACATGTATAGCTTGGAGGAAAGACGAGACAGGGGGGATATGATAGAAACATTTAAATATATAAAGGGAATCAACACAGTAAAGGAGGAGACTATATTTAAAAGAAGAAAAACTACCACAACAAGAGGACATAGTCTTAAATTAGAGGGACAAAGGTTTAAAAATAATATCAGGAAGTATTACTTTACTGAGAGGGTAGTGGATGCATGGAATAGCCTTCCAGCTGAAGTGGTAGAGGTTAACACAGTAAAGGAGTTTAAGCATGCGTGGGATAGGCATAAGGCTATCCTAACTATAAGATAAGACTAGGGACTAATGAAAGTATTTAGAAAATTGGGCAGACTAGATGGGCCGAATGGTTCTTATCTGCCGTCACATTCTATGTTTCTATGTTTCTATGTTATTAGATCCCCCACTATACCTTTGGTGACAATAGATTTGTGCATTAAAAAAGCTTAAATTTCCTTTAAAAAAATAATTATATAAGAACCTATACATATATATAGCCACACCTGGCTATCATAGGTTAAAGATAGCAACCAACTTTATACATGGCTCAATATTTTAAGTGTTTGTCTATGAATGTTAATGGGTTAAACAGCCTGTTTAAGAGACGTGCAGCATTACAGGAGATACATAGTTCCAAAGCATCAATAATATGCTTTCAAGAAACGCATTTTTGTGTAAGGAACCCTCCAAATTTTAAACCTACCAGGTACCCACAAATTTACCATGCCTTCTCCCCACAAATCAAAAGGGGTTTCCATAATGTTTCATGAGGACTGGATATTTAAACAGGACTCATTATATACGGATAAGTTAGGTAGATTGCTAGTTGTGGTAGGGAACTTAAAAGGAATGCAGTTAACAGTAGCATCGATAAATGCCCCTAATAATTCACAAATTTCTTTTTTGAGTAGAGCACTGTCTAAAATTCCAGCACTTCATAAGGGACATACTATAATATGTGGGGATTTTAACTGCACCCTGGATCCTAATATGAACATAATGAGGAGTGAAGGGAAACGTCCGTTACACCAGGCAACCATTATGAGCTCCAAATTTTCTAATTCACATGATCTGTATGATACATGGCGTAGTCTATACCCAAGTTACAAAGATTATATTTTTTTCTCAAATGTACATAGCACCTATTCTCGAATAGATATGTGCTTAGTGGATAAACTAACGCTATTGAATGTTTCTGAGGTAAAAATAGGTAATAGAGTTTGGTCCGATCATGCACCGGTTGTCATCACCTTTAGAGCTCTGTTCACAGCAAGGGGTAGAAGCACCTGGCGCCTCAATGAATCCCTCTTAAATGAAACAAACCTAGTCTCTTAACTAAGCATTGCTATTGGGTCATTTTTATAAAGTCCATCTTTATGATACTTCAAGCATTGAAATTGGATTATTCATCCAAGCAGGCTCGATTCATAAAAGAAAAATATTTGAAGATAAAGAAAGTCTCCTAAATAAACTCAACGAATTGGATAAAGCAAACAACCTGAATCCCTCAAAAAAATTAACTAAGCAGATTGTTAAAGGCAAACAGGAATTACAGGAGATGTCCTTAAATACAATGGAGAGACAATTAAGAAAACTCAAACAAACCCATTACATGGAGGGAAAAAAAGCTGGTAAATTACTAGCAAGTAAATTAAAGTCTAAATATTTACAGTTCAAACTACCATTTTTGATAGATTCAAATGGGATTAAATTGTATAACCCGCAAGACATAGTGGAAGAGTTGGCCTCTTTCTACCATACACTATATAACTTAAGACTTGACATAAACACACATCAACCTTCAAAGGACGAAATATCTACTTTCCTCAATGAGGTGAACATGCCCAGTTCTCACTGCTCAGATCTCTGAAGAGGAAGTAAGGAAAGCGATTTATACACTCCCCAAACATAAAGCCCAGGGCCCAGATGGGTTTCCAAACAGCTTTTTTATAACTTTTGAAACTCAACTTATACCACATCTCACTAACTTATTCAATCGCTTTAAGGACTCTGGGTCCATACCGGAAGAAATGCTTTTGGCCTATATAATTACTCTACCCAAACCAGGAAAACCGCCTATTGAGTGTGCCAATTTAAGACCTATTTCCTTACTAAATGCAGATATAAAACTATATGCCAAAATACTGGCCACACAAATAAAACCTATGCTAATAGATTTGATCTCACCAGAGCAAACAGGATTTGTCCCGTCAAGACAACCCGGGGACAATACCCGACATTTCTTAAATCTAATTACTTGGGCACAAGTTAGTAAACAAAAGGGCTTATTATTAGCCTGGGACGTGGAGAAAGCGTTCGATTGATTAAATTAGACATGCATGCAGGAAGTAATGTTAAGAATGGGGCTTCTGCTAGCCTTTATGGGTAGCATAATGGCTCTATACTCTAGTCCTATTGCCAGAATATTTAACTCTGGATTTATGTACAGACCATTTCATATTACAAACGGATCCAGACGAGGATGCCCCCTACCCCACTGATTTTCATCCTATGTATGGAACCGTTAGTGAGATATATTAAAGGCCAGGATGAAATTAAGGGTTTAAATACGTCGTCTGGGGAATCAAAAATCGCTCTTTTTGCAGACGATGTCTTATTATTTCTATCCAATCCAGAATTATCAATACCACAATTAATGATTACGCGTGAAAGATACGGTCAATTGTCATATTATAAAAATAATACCAAAAAGTCACAGGCACTGGTATTAGGACTTCCAACAGTCATTACACAACATTTAAAATCCATTTACTCATTTGACTGGCGCAAGACGTCCATATCTTATCTTGGTATTAAACTCCCTATATCACAAACGTTGATAATAAAAGAAAACCACTTACCACTAATATATAAATTAGAACACCAAATTAAAATATGGGAAAATAAAGAAATTTCCTGGTTAGGTCGTATACATACTATAAAAATGATGATCCTGCACCATATACTATATCTCTTTCGTACATTACTGATTACCCTTCCAAATACCATACTTCGGAAGTTTCAGTTACTTATTAATGCCCACATTTGGAAAAGGAAACCACCACAAATCGCACAAGATCAGTTATGGCTTCCATTTGCGAAAGGTGGTCTAGGCGTCCCAAAATTAAAACCTACTACAAGGCTTTATTACTCGCCCAGGGTCATTCGGCAATAGAAAGGGGTTTCCCTCCGCTCTGGTTGGCATTAGAAAATGCGTGTTTTCCGCAAGGCACACTACCTTATGCATTATGGTCAGGGACCACGTTATCTAATAAGGAAAAAGACTTGCTGCCAACCACTAAAACTTTACTCCATATATGGAGAGAGTCCATCCCCAAACGAAGAAGCAGTACACTTGATCATTCACTGCCTAACAGCAACAAAAATCACCATCGCTCACAGATGGAAGCAAACACAAGCACCTAGTCTTGAGCAGACTAGATTCCTTTAGCTTTTATGAGAAAATGGCAAGCCGACTAAAGGGCAGAGAGTATCTATATATATGAAGCTGGCATCAGTGGTTGGCGATAAGAGATCAGTATGTCTCATATCATAGATATGACATTTAGACTTTAAAAAGAAAGGAGACTCACCTACCAGATGTGTTAAAGCACAATATAACACAAGATCAGATCATACCTAACAATAATGTCACCCTTTTTTTTTTTTTTCTTTTTTCAAATCTTTAAGTCTTGTTAGGACTTTACCCTTTAGCTCTACTAATAGACTATATAGGTGTGTATTTAAAGCAAGAAACTCCAAATATTAATACTAAAGAAGAAATCGGCTCAACGTTACAATTATGCTTATACACAAGCTGTGATTAAGGCACTAAGAATACAAAAAGATTCTTTGGCGTAGGCTAAGCTTGAGTGCAGTAACCAAGGTAAACACACTAAAGATTATACACTAAGCAACCTTGTACAGCTAAAACTATGGAGAAGGCCCCCTCAGTCTTGATGCTTGTATTTGCTTAATGTAAGGAAGGTCAGTAGTGTATCTAACAGTGAGAATGATATCATATGCGGTGCCTATGTTTGTAAATGATAATATGTAACTCGCAAATTGTTATGGTGTGTCCCTCACCCCCCCCCCACCCCCTTTTTTCTCTTTTGTATCCCATTTGTTTGATTGTATTTTGGTCATACCTTGATATGACTGTTGTATAAAAAAATTTTTTTAAATAAAAACGAGATAAGTAAAAAAAAATAAATAAAAAAAAAAGAGTTCAAAATCCTTGCCTGGAAACTATAGACCTGTGAGCATAACATCTGTGACTGGGAAAATATTTGAAGGGTTATTAAGGGATAATATTCAGGAATTCATTGGGAAGAACTTTGTTATTAGCAATAATCAGCATGGTTTTATGAAACATAGGTCATGTCAAACTAACCTAATTGCATTCTATGAACAAGTAAGTAGAAGTATAGATCAGGGTGTTGCAGTGGATGTGATCTACTTGAATTTTGCCAAGGCATTTGATACTGTTGCTCACAATAGGTTAGTCTTTAAACTAAAAGAAATTGGTCTAGATGAATATACTTGTTCTTGGGTAGAACATTTGCTTAAGGATAGTGTACAACGAGTTGTCATTAATGGTAAACTTTCAAGCTGGACAAAAGTGGTAAGTAGTGTCCCTCAGGGTTCTGTTTTGGGAGGACCGCTCCTATTTAACATATTTGTAAATTATCTTGAAATAGGCATTAAAAGCCATGTTTTAGTGTTTGCAGTGGACACAAAACTTAAAGTAAATAAAATGTGAGATATTGCTTTGCTGCAGAGGAATTTAGATAGATTGGGGACTGGGCACCAAAATGGCAAATTACATTTAATGTAGAGAAACACAAAGTTATGCACTTTGGGGTCAAGAATACACAAGAAACTTACAGCCTAAATGGTAGTGAGGTAGGGATAACACACAAGAGTGATTTGGGAATTGCTATAGACCACAAATTAGGTAATATGCAATGTCAATCTGCAGTTGCTAAGGCCAGTAAGGTTTTGTCATTTATAAACAGGGGCATTCATTCTTGGTATAAAAATATAATTTGTCTCTTTATAAACTGCTGGTAAGACCACACCTTTGCAATTTTGGGCATCTGTTCTAAAGAAGGATATCATGGCACTAGAAAAACTAGAAAAAGTGCAGAGACAAGTCACAAAACTGATAAAAGAAATAGAGCATTTTAGTTCCGAGGAAAGGTTAAAACATGTAAATCGCTTTAGATTAGAAAAACAACACCTCAGAGGGGATATGATATCATTAAACAAACAAATTCGGGGCTAGTACAATCCATTATCTGGAAATCTATTCATAAACAGTGCTATACATGGGACACAAGGTCACGCATTTTGGCTGGAAGAAAGGAGATTTAATCTAAGACAAAGAAAATGGTTTTTTTTACAGTACGAACTATAAGGATATGAAGAGGTGGTTTTATCAGTGTCCATACAGATTAGTGGGGTAATAGCTGCTTGATCCAAGGAGATATCTGACTGACAATTTGGGGTCAAGAAGGAATTTTTTCAGACTGGGTTTTTTGCCTTCTTTTGATCAACAGTAAAAACATATGTGAGGAAGGCTGAACTTTATGGATACAAGACTCTTTTCAGCTATGTAACTATGTGGACCCTGGACTTGGGCCATTTCTGGGGGCTGTTGTGGGAGTCGGGGCTAGGGCCTAACCTCCTGCCGACACCACTCTCTAACTTCCACTCATTATTTGATTATCTCCCTTTTTTTTTTCCCCCCCCCGCTTACCACTCCTCTCTTCTTCCTCAATATCCTTTCTATCCTTCTCACTACCATCCATGATTTACTTTTCCTAAAACTACTGTCCTATCCCTTAACCATAGGGGACTACGGGTCCTAAACAGATAAGTCACTTTTAACTTCTGCATCACGATGAGCAGTAAGCAAAGCCTAGACATGTACTTGAAATCCTATGAAGGGCACTAGGTCTATGACATTTTCAGTGTTTTTCATACCCGCAGTAGAGAGCTTTGTTACTTAAATTCTGTACCAACACTATAGCACTGTAAACCTAACTATCTATATATTACGCTGTTAAAACTTTTCTTTGTTAATGGTGGTTTGCCTTGCTTGCTGTTCACAAAATTAAACACCTAAAATAAAGTTTGTTAAAAAAAAAAACATAATTAAAATTCTTAAGAATTACTTTTCTATGTAGTATGCTTTTTCATATACACAGGTTAAAAACAGCAGCAAAATTGTATGGTTGTATACATTTTTCTAATGCTTATCCAGTGCTGGATTTATGCATCCAGACATGTCTATATGGAGCATGTTGAAGAATTGGGCAACACTAATGTCAAACGTATAAAACATTACTGGTCTGTGAGGGTTTTTGTTTTTATAAATTACATGTTTTGTGCAAAGATTCCAGTAGTAAAAAAAAAAAAAAATTTTGCATGCTGAACAATTTAGATTCCAACACTACCATAAAATTAAAATAACAGAACTATACACAGACTCATGATCAACACACAGCTGCACTCAGTGTGATTTAGCTGTACATTAACTGCATATAACCATTTCCTCGCACAGCATTCCCAATGGCCTCTTAAGGATTTAATTTTATTTTGGCATTGGCAATTTAAAAAAAAATTTTTTACAATATAACTATGTTTGTCATAAGGGAAACTTAACCCCTTATCCCCCAATGCACAATTTATGAACCAAAACAAAACCTAAAATTTGTGATATGTGTTTGTTCCACTGTAATTTAAAGAGTTATTATTAACTGCACCCGTACATATTCTATATTTTTAAAAGTAAAGTAAGTGCTTTCTTTAAGTATTCTATGGGTATATCTGATCCAACATTAACAGGGTTATTCACTATTCAAAGTGAATTCAGAGAGAATTGCAAATTTAAGACCAGCATCGCTAAACTGAAAACATAGCTGACTCCAGTTGAAATTCACTTTGAATTCTCACTTTAGAGAATAAACCTGTAAGTATGAATAAAATTTTAAAAAATCAGAAACAAAAATGGAACAAAACCAATTTTTGTCCACAGTTTTGCTTAATATACAATTTACACATTAAGTGCAACTTAAATAAAAATAACTCGGGCTCTCTCATCTGTGACTGGCCCATTTTTAAATCAAATCTTAAATCACTCTTTCCGTTAGCATTTTCCCCTCATCTTTCAAACATATTAAAAAAAAAAGTATTATTTTGATCTAGATGCCTTGCCCAGGTATCATTCTATCTATCTTGTTCCGTTTGTCTCAATGCTATTTGAAAGGCTTGTTTACACACAACTTACAGACTGACCAGGCACTCAAGGAAATCTTGTAGGGGTTTTATTGGAAGAGTGGAGCAGGAACAACAACAGCAGAACATGTGTGATCCAACCACTCAAGGAAATCTTGTATCAGTTTTATTGGAAAAACAAAGCAGGGACAGCAACGTTTCAACCTTCAATGAGGTCTTCGTAAAGCTTGACAAAGACCTTATTTCAGGTCAAAACATTGCTGAGCATATCAGACTGAGGTCTGGCCGAGAATCACCATGACTGACAGAGATACCTCAGTCGCAGCAATTTAAGTAATTTAAAGGCCCACTAAAGATGTCCTGGGTTGACAGAGATGAGTCCCAGGTAACAAATGATATCTGGTTCTACCTGCACACACCAGAACTACAGGATGTTCAGACAATATTTTTAGGGCTGCATGGAATGTCTTAATGGCATGAATGGGTTAAGATGCTATATTTTTTTCCTTATTTATCATTTAATAGATTTCAAGTGTTACTCAGCATAACATATTTATCCATTTAAATATCAAGCTACTTTCAGCTTTTCACACTGCTCCAAAGCTTGTTTATATTGTTTTGCTTTGACTTGGTAATTGGTGAGATTTCAGTGGGGCTGGTGTGTTTTTCCACATTAGACATGAGCATTTGAAAAATATACAGTAACTCCAGGTTTTTTGTGACTTTTTTTCCTGAAGAAGTATGTTATTTACAAAACACATTGGACTGTTATACATGGTTTTATGTTTCTATATATTTCATCCGAATACTGCACTGGACATACACAGGCTTTTTATATTTGTCTTTGTCAATTAGCTTTTAAGCCAGAAAACTAGTATACATTTGGGACATCTTCAAAATAGCAGATCATCATTCAAAAAGGATTTGTTAAATGTAAAATACTTCAGCTTATCTAGACTTCAACCTCTCCTGCCTTACCTTTAAATATGGTATCTGCTAACCCCACAAAAAGTATGAGTTTATCCATATGTTTATTGTTGTTATTATGTATTTTATTTGATATGCTTTCATTATAAGTTTTGCATTTTTTTTACAGTTTTTCTGTTTTAGATAATTTTACATTTGATCCGCCTGCTAGACTTGTACATTCACTTGCAACCAGAGGAGTACCCCCACAGATCTAGATGGACTCTAGATGATTCCTTGCTCACGGACATCGGCTGAAAAATCTGGTTGCAGTCTGCCTTGAGGATAATCCGCATTCATCCTGCCACAGGACACTCAGCAGCTACACATATTGACAACCTGAAGCGCCCGAGAGCATTGAATACTCATACGTGCAGCCTTCTGAGATTGAGGGCCGGGTGACTGAGAGAGACGGCCGCTCTCCTGACTCTGGGCCTGCACCTCACCACGAGTTGCTCATAACCCTGTTACCACCCCTTTTGGACCGGTGGGAGTTAGTGCCAAGCCGTAAGCTCACAGGGAAGAAGCCGTCACACAGAGACTTGATCTCTGGGACCCCCACGAAGACAAGATAGCAAAGGCCTTCGACCACTTATGGGCACAGCTTTGGACTAAGCTTGCTGACCAGGCACAGAGTCCAGTAGCCACAGACGCCTCTCAAAAGCCCACTACACACCAACCAAAGCCTACACCGCACTGCAATGCCAAACAACCGACCGTAATGAAAAGAAGGAAGAAGGCAAAGAGGGTACCCGCAAACATCCGTCACATACCTGTGCCTCAGCTAATATGTGGAAGATCTCCCACAAGCTGCTTACAGCCTCAGGTCCCCGCTCAGCAAGGCCTGTGGCATGCAAAAAGACGAGCTTGGAGATCTGCTCCTCAGGCTGGACGCAGCCGGCTCTATGCAGTACAAAAAGAGGAGACAATCGTTGCTTGGGGCCAGAGTAGTACCCCCACAGATCTAGATGGACTCTAGATGATCCCTTGCTCACGGACATCGGCTGAAATATCTGGTTGCAGTCCAACAGATCCTGCACAGCTATAGGTTTTTCTCTGTTTTTATTTGTGAAATCTTTTTTTATTGAGTTATCACAGATATGGAGACAAAGGAGATGTAGGCAAGCAGGCCCCACTACATTTATACATGCAGATAGTACACAGGTACACAACTTGTTCTGATCCAAATATGCTGTCAGGCTTTACATAACTGTGTACATTCTAAGTAAAAATATAATGGTGACATGAAATGCGGAGTCTTCACCAGTGATAGCT